ATCAGGGTTGTAGTTTTCGTCAGATTGCGAGCATGTTAGGGATAGGGAAAACTACAGTTCATAAATATGCGGAACAGGCATCCCAGAGCAGCAGCCGCCTAGCAGTACGACCAACGGTACCTCGATCAGGCCGCCCTCGTTTGCTTTCGGTGCGTGACCGACGATGTCTTGTGCGTTCTGTGACTTCAGGGGCCGTCAAAACGAGTGTAGAGGCCGCAAAACAGTTACAGTTAGTACAGGGCATTAAGGTCTGCCCGCGCACAGTACGAAATGCCCTGAAGCTGTCAGGGCTTGTCGCTGTACAGCAACCGAGGAAGCCACGTCTTTCGGCGAGTAACATCCGAGATCGCTTGGCATTTGCCCGTGCACACCTAGACTGGACTATCGAGGACTGGAAGCGGATTATCTGGTCAGATGAGACCAAGATCAACCGCTTTTGCAGCGATGGCCGCAGCTTCGCTTGGATCCGCGATGGCGCGGCTCTTCAAGCGCATCAGGTGAAGCAGTGTGTGAAGCATGGGGGCGAGTCCATAATGATATGGGGATGTATGACCTATGATGGCCCCGGTTTTATGTGTAAGATCGAAGGGCGCATGGATGGGCAGCTGTACCGTGCGATCTTGCAGGATGAGCTTGCTCTGGCTATCGATTTCTACTCTCTAACCGCCAGTGATGTTATTTTCCAGCAAGATAACGACCCTAAGCACAAGAGTAGGCTTGTGCAAGAGTTCCTTTCTGAGCAGGAATACTCAGTCCTGCAGTGGCCTTCCTCCTACCCAGACCTAAATCCAATCGAACACCTATGGTCTCACCTCAAACGTGAGCTCGCCAAGTATGAGTACCCCCCTTCAGGCATGCTTCAAACTTGGGAGCGAGTGCAGGAGACGTGGGAGAGTATTGGAGCAGAAGTCTGTAGGGGATTGATAGATAGTATGCCTAGGAGGGTGAAGGCCGTTGTTAGGGCAAAGGGTAGATGGACTAGGTACTGATTTTGGACAATGTTATGCCTTGTTTGAAATGGGAACTATTTGTCCTAATGTACATCCATGTATATAATGCTATGAACTTTGGCATAACAAAACCTAATATGGCTAGTGTTGGCATTTTACGTATGCTGTTGCCTTTGTCTACCAGGCCATTAAAGCCTGTCACATTATTAACTTCCCAATAATCAGCAACTGACAATTTTCCACAAAATTGCCCAACATGCGGACAATTTCTGCCGTCAATGTAAATCCGGGTTTCCATGCCCGGAAAAAAAATCGTCGCCATCGATAGTTCGGGAGTGTAGCGCAGTACAGGCAGCAGATGGAAGAATTTTATAACCGCATTCCCGACCTAACCAAAGGGGAAAAAGTACAGTCGTATCTTGTCGGGCTGAAGACCGAAGTCAAACGACAGGTAGCAGCGACAAATTACGCGAGCTACAGTGATGTCGTTTCGGCAGCGGAGCGGTTTGACATGGTCAACGCCGGAACACGACGGGCGCACATCGGCAGTACACGACAGGGCGACTGCTCGGCACACCCCACGTTCGCTGACCCGGTGGAAATCGGCAGGTTCGACGGCGACCACGTCTGAAAAACGCCAACTTTACGAGCGATTTTTGTGGACTGCCGGGCCATAGAATCTTCGAGTATAATATAATGAAAGCTGCACATGCAGAGTATCGGGCGTGCAACAGTGGTGGAAATTCTTCGCCCAATCAGAAATTATATATATGAGGAAATGATGGGGGGAAATCTCCACCCCACGACCAGTCTTCGCCAGGGAAAATTGCAGAGAAAAAAATCTGACTCCGCGAAAAAAGCCTCTGCCGAGACAGGGAAACTCTTTGAAGACCCAAGAAATCATATGGATTCATCAAAATTGTCTTATAAAAATGCTTTAATGAAAGCTTATGATTCTCGAGGGGTTAGAGCCTTGGAGAAAATTCGGAATGGACTCAAGAAGAAGCATAAAATTGTGGAGATCGTACTGGTACCGGAGAACCTGGGGACGAAATTAAGGAGTGTGAAAAGAAGCTGAGCTTTCCACGGAGTCAATGTTCTCTCCCGACACCAGCCCCCAACGACTACCCATTTCCCAGGGAAGACGTTTGTGGAGCTGAAGCAGCTCAAAAGGAGGCTGGGGGTCCACAAGAAGCTGTAAAAGTTCCGAACTCCTCCTTCAGATGCATCCAACTCAGCAACTTCGGCATCAAAGGTACACACAGTCGTCAAGGAAACTTCGGGCCCTGGAAAATAGCCTTTCTCCAAGCAGCCTCGGCCACCTGCCAGCTCAGGAGTAGATGGCAAGGAAAAGGTGTGTACGGAATATTGGAATGTACCATGTGATCCTAATGAAACTATCTTAAGGTACTCCGAGCAACGCCTGCCCCTCGTGCTCGAAGTCATCTGCAAAGGACGAGGCTTCTAAGCACTCGCAGAGCGTCACACACCATATGCAACAAGGCAGCAATCGACCGACTTCGGGAAGAGTACAAGCCTTCAGCATTCTCTGCTATGATGGTGGACGGCAGCAAGTTACCAGTCTACAGGGAAGCTGTGTTACACCTACAAATCGGTCCATTGTGTCTTAGCCCCACATAGCTAGCCAACATGAAGAAACAAATTGAGCATCTCCTCGAAAAAGGACTCATCGGGCCATCCACTTCACCTTACAGTGCCCAAGTACTCTTCACACCGAAACTGGATAGAAGCCTGAGCATGTGCATTGATTACCAAGCTCTCAACAAGAAGACAATCAAGAATAAATACCCGATTGCAGGACTATGACATGCTTGACCAGCTTCGAGGAGCCACAGTATTTTCCAAACTGGATATGCGGTCCAGATACTGGCAAATAAGAATGGCGGACAATTCCATCCACAAAGCTGCCTTCCGAACTCGGTATGGGTCGTACGAGTATCTCGTCATGCCGTTCGGGCTCACCAACATACCGCAACCTTCCAAGCCAAAATGAACCACATCCTTCGCCCACTCTTGGACGAATGTGTGGTGGTGTACCTGGATGACATCCACATCTACTCGTGCGATATGAAACAGCACGTCGAATACCTGCGACGTGTCTTCAACATTCTTCGACAAGAACGATTCAACGTCAAATTATCCAAGAGCGAATTCGCCCTCAAGAAGTTCCAATTCATAGGACATATGGTGAGCGCTCAAGGAGTTCACATCGACCCCAAGAAGATCAAATCCGTACGCACGTAGAAGTCACCCGAGATCGCTAAGGAGTTGTAGCAGTTCCTAGGCTTCGCCAACTATTACAACAAGTTCGTGCCACAGTACGCGAAAGTCGCTGCACCACTCACGAATCTGTTGAAGAAGAAGACGCCCTATGAATGGGAATCAAAACATCAGGAAGTCGTAGAGCAGCTGAAATAAACACTCACGTCCGCACTCGTACTCATCTTGCCAGATCCCGAACGCGACTACATCATCAAAGCTGATGCGAGTGACCAGGCAAAGCTGTCAAAGCTGTCATCAAAGCTGTCTTTATGCAAGACCAAGGGAATGGACTGCAACCCATCGCCTAAAAGGCCCGATACCTACATGGGGCAGATTTAAATTACCCGATACACGACAAAAAGGCCCTTGCTATTATCATCGCCTTCAAAACGTGGAGATGCTATCTCGAAGGGCGAATAACAACCGTCTACACCGACCACTGCACCATGAAATATTTGAAGACACAACCAAACCTCTCCCAACGGCAGGTCAAGTGGATTGACTTCCTCGAAACGCACTTCCACTATGACATCCTGCACAAGCTCGGCCACAAATACAAAGCAGATGCTCTCAGTTGACCTGCACACGTTGCCGCTATCCAGGTCGAAGGGATGAACCCGCTACTCAAGGGACTCTTCATACACGGGTACACCATTGGCCCCGAAATTCCCTTGGTAGTGTAGCGACATCTGCTACAGTGAGACAGTGACATCGCGTACCAGCAAAACTCTCACCGGTATTGCAAAGCACTAATACTGGCCCTACATGGCAGGCGACGTACATAAATTCGTCACATTGTGCAACACATGTCAGCAGATAAAGAGCAGTAAGCAGAAAAAAGTGTTGTGTGATGTCATCATATGCTATCACATTCTGTCTGCCTCCCATCCCTTGTTTCAATTCGCATGTATGGTTTGACTGTGTGTGAAAGAATTTGTGTGGTGTGTGTTCTGGAGTTTGGGAATGTGTTTTGTGTTATTCTGTCTGAGCAGGTATTTTGTGATAGATCTTGAGAAGATATTTCCGACGCAACAAGAATCGCTTCAATCGGAGCAAGAACGCGAAAGCTATGAAGATTCAAAGTTCATGAGCTTGCGTTACAATTGCGGCGGTTATGAAGTGAAGTTGTGGGGTGACTCTATATGGAGTTTGGACCTTTGGGGTTGGGGAAATTCGTCACTCTACTGTAACAGCTGCAAATTGGTTGGGAACAACCAAGCTAGGTTGGCAAGGGTGGCCAACTTGGATGGATTGGTTGGAAAGGGACAAATGTCAAAGTTGGGGTTCCTATATGGAGGGAATCTTTGTGCTTATGGGGTTTCCTTGGTTGGGAACTCTCTTGGGACCTTCCCTCTCATCTCTCTCTTTCTATCCCAACCTTTCTCTTGCTCCTCTAATTCCTTGTGAGATTCTTGAACTTTGATTAAACTTTTGAGATTGAGTTAAGTTCTCCTCCTACAGCTTACCCCCTAATGCGTCGAAAGCCATAGCGTCGTGAATACTTCATCAATCAACGTGATTCGAATTGGGAACGGTAGCTGAGATTACGAGCTACAACATATCCAAGTTTCGCGATATTCCAACAGCTAGGTTTTTGTCGACGTCGTTTCTTGTGAAGACGACTTTTCTGTCCAGAATTTCGGATTTATATTTTGAGTAATTCTAGCTCCTAAGTTCACCTAGACTCCGTCCTTAATTCTAACAACTGGTATCAGAGCGATATTAAAGACATTAAGAGGAGTCTACAGAAGTTTGAAAACCCTTCTAGACCCACCATGGCCTGTGGGTGTGCCTAAGTGGTGTTCTAAAGGTTGGATGTGTCTTCCGCTAAGGGGAAACTCTGCCGAAATTTCGTGGACGCCGACGCTTGTGAAAATATCGCGGGAGCTGAGTGTGGCCAGCAAAGTGGAGCTGAAATTCGTCATTTCTCAAGGAGAAGATGAATGAGAGAGGAGGAGATGCTAATGGAAGAGGAGCTGTACCTGAGAAGACAAGTGAGCCGCCGCCATCAAAAGTTGAAGCTTTGGATGGCTCCAACTATGAGGAATGGAGCGGGCGGATGAGGAGTGCCTTCAAACGCTACAAGCTACTGAAGATTGCTGTTGGGGAAGAGAAGATGCTAGAAGAAGGCGAAGCACGTGAACGGTGGATTGAGAAAAGCGCCGTGCTTTTCGACCTCATCCTTCAATCGGTCAACAAGGAGATGTTCGAGCACATCAAGGATCTTGTGGAAGCGGATGATTCGGGTCCAAGGGCGTGGAAACTACTACGCGATGTGATTCAGCCCAACACTCTCCCGATGGTGATCGTGCTCGAGAAGGAACTTGCTGCCATCTGCATGCGACCAGGGGACGATGTGAAGCCGGTCCTTGACAAGATCAAGGACACCTATGCAAGGATGGCAGCAGCGGGCAGCAGTGTATCTCAGCTGCAGCAGTGCACCAAGATCATCTCGGTGTTGGACAACTCTTCGGACAACCTCATCCCCACCCTCAACTCTCAGCAATATCAATGGACACTTGAGTGGCTAAGGCAGCAGATTCTGCAGGAGGACTTCCGCAGACGCCATGTGGGAGGCGGTGCGTCTACTAAGACTGCTGAGGGGTATGGAGCTGCAGGGCGCGACAGAGGAAGAGGGGGTTGGAAGGCCGAGGCCGTGGGAAGGGCTTTGGCAGAGGTAGAGGCCGAGGTGACTATAATGAGGGGCATGGGAGCTCTAGTGGTAGGGGGAGTACCAGAATGGAGGGCACCTGCTAGTACTGCAAGAAGGTCGGGCATCCTTGGTTCAAGTGCTTCAGCAGGCCGGAGGGATGGGCACCTCCAGGCATGAAGCCGCCAAGTGGTGAACGCGCACAAGGTGGCGCTGTGCAAGGCTCAGGTGCACAAGGTAATACCTATCCTGGGATGTTTCTCATGGTTGAGGATGTGCATGGACATGAGGATGATGTGGGATCTATGGGAAAGGTTGTGATGCACCATCTCATGCACTGGGTAATTGACTCAGGTTGCACCAGTCACATGACCCGACGGGCAGATTTGCTTGATGAGGTAAAACCCCCTGGGAAGATTAAGTATGTGGTAGCAGCGTCAGGTGCTTTGCTCCCTGTCATTGGTGTTGGGAATGCCAAGGTTAAGGGAGCTAATGGGGAGCTTGTGGGGCTTGGGAATGTCCTGCTGGTTGAAGGTCTGTCTGCTAACCTTCTCTCTGTGCGGCGGCTGCAGAAGAGTAAGGCCGAAGTGACCTTTGGACCAACCAGCTGCTGTGCTAAACTTGGGAAGAAGGTGCTGTGGAGTCTGGAAGAGGAGACCAGCTGCATCAAGGACCTATGGCAGCTGCCCATCATCCCTTGGAATGGGAAGACTCAAACAGCAGCAACGGCAGCAGCGGCAAAGGTAACAGCAGGAGGAGATGCAACTGCACCAGCTGTTGGGGTCCTGGAAGCAGTCAAGAAAGTGCAGCAGCACTATACACATGGGGAGGTGCTTGCTGGTGTGGATGCAAATGCGGCATGGGCTAAGGCTTCATCAAGGAGTGAAGAGGCCGATTGGGAGACATGGCATGAGAGGCTGTATCATGTGAACTTCCCTATACTGCAGAAGTTGGTGAAGGATGGGAGCCTGAAAGGATTGGAGGTGAAAGGGGGAGTGAAGGAGATTGGGAGCTTCCCTACATGCTTGGAGACTAAGTTCTCCAAGTTCCCCTTCGACAGCACTACAGGACCAGCCAAGACCCCACTTGCACTTGTGCACATGGATGTGGTGGGGCCCACAAGAGCCCCTTCCCTCTTAGGCAGCCGCTTTTTCTTGACAATTGTGGATGACCACACTCGGGCAGTGTGGGTTTACCCTTTGAAGAGCAAGGGGGAGGTGGCAGCGGCTGTCCTTAAGAAGTGGATGGCTAGAGCTCAGAGGGAATGCGGACACAAGGTGAAGGTGATCCGCAGTGACAATGGTGGGGAGTTCATTGGAGCTGATTTTGAGGGGGAGTTGAATAGGAAGGGGATCCAACATCAACTGACTGTGCTCTACAACCCACAGCAGAATGGCGTGACTGAGAGGTTCAACAGGACCCTGCAGGAGGAGGCACGCACTCTCCTAGGGCATGCAGGGCTGCCTGATCCGTTTTGGGTGTCTGCACTGAGGCAGGTCGCCCTTGTGAAGAACAGGGTGCTGGCTACAGTTGGGATAAGGAGTGGATCCCATATACCAAGTGGTATGGGACTGCTCCAGCTGTGAACATGCTGAGGGCATTTGGGTGCATGGTGGTGTTTCATGTGCCTAAGGAGAAAAGAGGGAAGTTGGAGGCTTCTGGAAGATGGGGTGTGCACTTGGGGATTGCAAAAAATCACAAGGGGTAGCTGCTATGGGACTTGACCACCCAGAAGCTGACAGTGTCAAGGGATGTGAAGTTTCTTGAGTCCCTGTACTACAAGGAATGGAAGCAGCAGCAACAGAAGCTTCCATCTACACCGCTCATTGTGGAGGCAGATGAGGTGCAGCGGCCTTCAAGACAGGTGGAGGTTGCAGTGTCTGAGGAGGAGATGTCTGGGGTGACTGAGGAAGGGGGAGCAGCCGAAGTGGAGCAGCAGCAGCAGCAGCAGCATGAGTCTCCACCTCGAGTTCCACACCCGCCTGAGCGACCTAGGAGGGATGTGCGCCCTCCGGTGAGGCTGACCTATGGGGGAAGAGGCAAGACGAATGTGGTGCAGGCTGGGAGTGTAGTTGAGCAGATTGAGGAAGATGAGATCGCTCACTGCTACTGGGCACCAATCCCTGAGCCCAAGACTCGAGAAGAGGCCTTGAATGGACCAAATGGGGAGAAGTGGAAGGCGAGTGAGGATGAGGAGTTCGGGTCCCTGATTGAGAACGAGACATGGGACCTGTGTGACTTGCCTCCTGGGAAGAAGGCAATCACTTCCAAGATGATCTACAGGCACAAGTATGGACCTGAAGGGGAGTTGACCCGCTACAAGTCTAGGCTTGTGGCACGGGGGTTTCAGCAGACAAAGGGGAAGGACTATGATGAGGTATTTGCTCCTGTGGGGAAAGGAACAACACTTAAGGTGCTGTTGGCGATAGCTGCATTCCTGGGATGGAAGATACGGCAGATGGACATTGTGACTGCCTTTCTAAATGGGATCATTCTGGAGGAGGTGTACATGAAGCAGCCAGAGGGGCTGGATGATGGGAGCGGCAGGGTCTGCAGGCTGAAGAAGGCCATCTATGGGCTTAAGCAGGCGCCTCGTGCATGGCATCATAAGTTGGAGGAGGCGCTGTTGGCTGGGGGTTTCAAGAAGAGTGAGTGTGACCCCAGCATATTCCTGCTGCAGGAGAAGGATGAAATCCTCATGCTCTTGGTGTATGTGGATGATATCCTTCTCTTTTCTGCATCAACTGCTTTGCTGGACAGCGCAGAGCAGATGCTGGAGATGCAGTTCAAGTGCTCCAAGATGGGTGAGGTGAAGTACTACCTGGGGATGCATGTGGAGAGAGATGTGGAAAAGGGTGTGCTGAGGTTGCACCAGAGGAAGTACTGTGAGGGGCTGGCTGAGAAGTATGGGCTGCAAGATGGGGGAAAGCCAGCAACACCACTACCTTCGGGGTTTACTGTGGAGCCATGTGCTGATGAGGAGGTAGTGGGTGAGAGTGACAGGAAGCTGTTTCATTCGATGGTTGGGTCGCTAAACTATGCTGCAAATCATACACGGCCTGACATTGCATTTGCTACATCACGGCTGGCTAGCGTGGTTTCACGCCCTAGTCATGAGCAGCTGGAAGCGGCCAAGAGGTTGGTCCGCTATGTGAGTGCTACGGCATCAGTGGGATTGGAGTTAAGTGGAGTGAGGCAGCGGTTGCAGAGAGGTGCTGCAGATGTGAAGAGTGGAGAGATGCTCTTGAGTTTCTATACTGACGCTAGCTTCAACTCAGTGAAAGCGGATGGCACCAGCATTGGGGGTTATGTGTGCTTGCTGGGAGGTGGTGCTGTGAGCTGGCGTAGCAAGAAGCAGAATGAGGTGGGATTTTCCTCATGTGAGACTGAGTACATGGCCTTACATCATGGGGCCAAGGAAGTGGTGTGGCTGAGGCGCTTGTTGGAGGAGTTGGGAGTTGGCCAGGAGGAGCCGATAGTTGTGTTCTGTGACAATGAGTCTCCAGTGAAGCTCGCCAAGAATGCTTGTCTGCATGGGCTGACAAAACACATAAGGCCTAAGTGGCATTGGGTGAGGAGACTCCTTGATAAGGAGGTGCGGCTAGAGATAGTGAAAACCCATCAGCAGGCAGCGGATATTTTCACTAAGCATCTGGCAGAGGCGGATCATTGGAAGGGCATGAAGCTTGTTGGGATGAGTGTGCATTGAGTATGCATGCTTGAGATGTTGGGATGGTGGATGATGGTTGGCAGCCAGAGGGGGAGATTGTTGTGTGATGTCATCATATGCTATCACATTCTGTCTGCCTCCCATCCCTTGTTTCAATTCGCATGTATGGTTTGACTGTGTGTGAAAGAATTTGTGTGGTGTGTGTTCTGGAGTTTGGGAATGTGTTTTGTGTTATTCTGTCTGAGCAGGTATTTTGTGATAGATCTTGAGAAGATATTTCCGACGCAACAAGAATCGCTTCAATCGGAGCAAGAACGCGAAAGCTATGAAGATTCAAAGTTCATGAGCTTGCGTTACAATTGCGGCGGTTACGAAGTGAAGTTGTGGGGTGACTCTATATGGAGTTGGGACCTTTGGGGTTGGGGAAATTCATCATTCTACTGTAACAGCTGCAAATTGGTTGGGAACAACCAAGCTAGGTTGGCAAGGGTGGCCAACTTGGATGGATTGGTTGGAAAGGGACAAATGTCAAAGTTGGGGTTCCTATATGGAGGGAATCTTTGTGCTTATGGGGTTTCCTTGGTTGGGAACTCTCTTGGGACCTTCCCTCTCATCTCTCTCTTTCTATCCCAACCTTTCTCTTGCTCCTCTAATTCCTTGTGAGATTCTTGAACTTTGATTTAACTTTTGAGATTGAGTTAAGTTCTCCTCCTACAGCTTACCCCCTAATGCGTCGAAAGCCATAGCGTCGCGAATACTTCATCAATCAACGTGATTCGAATTGGTAATGGTAGCTGAGATTACGAGCTACAACATATCTAAGTTTCGCGATATTCCAACGGCTAGTTTTTTGTCGACGTCGTTTCTTGTGAAGACGACTTTTCTGTCCAGAATTTCGGATTTATATTTTGAGTAATTCTAGCTCCTAAGTTCACCTAGACTCCGTCCTTAATTCTAACAAAAAGCAGGACTGCTATACCCTCTTCCTGTCCCAGAACAGCTAGGCAAGTGGTTAGCCTGGACTTCATAACCGGGTTACCAACTACCACAAGCAGTCATGACGCAATCCTTGTCGTCATCGACAATTTTTCCAAAATGGGACACTTCATCCCGATACACATGACAGCACGCAGCGAGGAGACAACACAAATAATCGTTCGCTATATCATCTCACAGCATGGCATTCCAACCACACTCATCTCCGATCGAGACCCTAAGTTCACAAGCAAGTTCTGGAAGGAACTGATGCCTCTGCTCAGGACCAAACTTGTCATGTCATCCGCATACCATCCCTAGACAGATGTACAGATCGAGCGTCTCAACCAAATTGTAGAGCAACTCCTCCACGCAGCATGCAAAGACGAAATCTATAAATAAGACCTGCATCTGCCCATCCTGGAGTTTGCCTATAATAACGCCACTCACGCTGCTACTGGACAGACGCCATTCTTCCTCTGTTACAAACGCAACCCACTCACCCCACAGATACCGACAGCACCAGGCACAGTCCAACCTGCACGTGTCTTCATAACGACCATGCATAAGGTTTGGGATTGGACCCACAAGCGCCTCCTCGACATTCAGCAGCAACAGAAGCGCCAGGCCAATCGCAACCGCAATGACCACACGATCACCGTGGGAGACCGGGTTCTATTCGACACCTGCCATCTCGGCATCAGCCATATCCCATCTAAACTACGACCTCCCTTCTGTGGTTGAAGCATAGGTCACCGCTGTTACCTTCCGCTTATGCCTGCCAGCTAGCTGGAAGATTCACAACGCCTTCCACTTCCAACTTCTGAAGCCTTACAGAGATTCCAACATGATGTTCACGGGATGCCAATCGTCGCAGTCGCTGCCCTTCCTCATCCATGATGAACCCGAGTACGAGGTCGAGTCTGTGCTTGCACACCGCTGTCGTCGGAATGGCCCCTTCGAGCTTCTCATCCGTTGGAAGGGTTATGATCCTTCTGAGGATAGATGGGTCCCTGAATCAGCTATGGGTAACGCTCATTGTCCTCTTCGCGACTACCTTGTCAAGTAGGGTGTTACTTCTACCACCCAGCTTTGAGGGGGGAAGTGTGAGAATACAACCCCGTTACACTTCTTTCTCATGTCAATATTTCTCTTCTACCTCATTCTTCTTTTTGTTTCTCTTCCCTTATTCATTCGGCCTTTATCTCATCTCATTTGGTTTCATATTCCTCATTTTCCACTATCCTTTGGGTTATCCTATTATTATAATTATATCACCGACCAGGCTCGGGATGTACTGGCGCGCTATATCTAGCGTAATCATGTCGTAATCCCTAAAAGCCAATAGCATCGCATGGCTATACGTAGGGTGATTCAATTTCTAGAAGGGTCTATTCCCCTTTGGATAGGATAAAACTGGTCACCTGATGTACCTTGGAAGTATAAAAGCACCTTGTACCAATCGATAGTGCAGCTTTTCCTCGATCAATTCGGTCTTGTGATAGCAGCTTACCGTTGATATCGACGGCAAGAGAGTGGCCATCCTAGCGCTGACCCTTTAGCTGGCGACGCAGGTCAATAAGCCACGCCTCAAAATTGACAGCTCGACCCTCCGCGTCCAGGCGAATAACTGCGTCTACCATCATGCACAGCTGCAGCAGCTACTAGATAGCTCAGGCGGAGGAGGAGCAGGGGGGAGGCGTGTGCGGTCGAGTGTTATGGAGAGCGGTGGAGAGTAGTGGGGTGCGGTGAGGTGCGGTGAGGTGCGGTGAGGTGCGGTGAAGTGCGGTGGGGTGCGGTGAGGTGCGGTGGGGTGCGGTAGGGTGCGGTGAAGCCAGCAAGAACGCCAGCGCAGCGGAAAAAACTATGGCCGACGACACGCTGGGGCCAGTGGCGAGCAGGGGCCGGCGCGGCAAGCTGGGGCGGCACGGCGAGCCGAGGGAGACGCGGCAAGCTGGGCCGGCGCGGCGAGCTGGGGGCCGGTGGCGAGGTGAGGGCCGAGCGGCGAGCTGGGGCCGGCGGCGAGCAGGGGGCCGCGTCGAGCTGGGGCTGGCGACGAGTTGGGGCCAGTGCGACGGTCAAAGGGCCAGTGCGACAGTCAAAGGGCTAGTGCGGCGGGACGGGGCATAGCGACAGGCTGGGGCTAGCACGGCAGGCTGGGGGCCAGCGTGACAGTCTAAGGGTCAGCGCGGCCAGCTAGGGGCCAGCGTGGTGTGCTAGGGCCAGCGCGGCGTGCTATGGCCAGCGTGGTACGAAGGGCTAGGGCAGGCGCGGCAGGCTAGAGCAGGGCACGCGGCGGTAGGCTGGAGTGAAAACGCGGGTGGGTGGGACCTACCTAGCATGATACCATGTTAGAATGACCAAGTGAGTACTAGCAAGGGCATACAGGGTGATATATGTGTTTTGGGTTGTACTCTCTAAGAGCTCGAACCAGTCTAGACATGCATAACAAATGTATAAGTTGATAGGTTCATGTAACTCTATTTGCTCTGAAAACCATGTTGGAGTGAACCACGTGTTTAGGGTGGCCTGGATCTACAGTTGGTGGAACCAACAGTAAAAGTCGAGGAAATCTCCGAAATAACAAGGATGATAATAATGAATAATATATGTATATTTATAGTAGGAAGTACCTATTCGGGATGTACCTGTTCGTACTGTATCGCGACTGTTCGCGTGACATGACTAGTGACTATTTGTTTGACCGAGATTGGCGTGACCTTTCGGGTGACTTACCACGCGAACCTACTGTTCACGCGTTGACACGCTATTGATGGCGTCATCACCCACGTCCTTTTACAAGAGGTATCGCGCGAATAGTACAGTCTAAGGCCAAAAACGTGTCTGAACACCGAGCAGTAATTGCCGATTTTCATGAAGCTGTACAGTACCAGGTGTTATACTCACAATAGGATTAGATGTGCCTAAAATGAGAGAAATTGTGCACAGTCAGAATTCCGTCAGACAGCTTCAAATATTGATGCCGAAATGATCTGTGCCTCAAACGGTGATCTGTAAATTGGATCTGGAGCGCGTTACTGTCGCCTATCAGCAGCAAGTTGAATCATAAAATTCCATGAAGAATTGACGACGCTATGGCGGTTTTACTGGCAGGAGGTACAGCAGCCACTATAGTCTTGGAAGTACAAACATAGCAAGAAGAATTCGAGATGGAGATGGTTCCCAGCCTCTACATACCCCAAGAGTCGAGGTCCAGGTTGGTGGTACACCAGCACAGAGTCCCCAACCATGAAGAGTCTCGAAACAAACCCTCCAAGGGGCTACACCAAGTGAAATGTAACACTACACGAAGTAGCGTTACTATTTTCACTATTTAATATTTATCCGTGTCCCTTGGGCTTGAAATCTTGAGATCTTGGTCTTGGTTCAGCAATATAAATTATTCTTGAGTTGATGGAGGCTTGCTGCACACACCTGCGACATGATGGACACTTCAATTCTCGACAAAATAGAAAAAACACATGCGACACGCAAACGACGACTTGACATGCGAGTTGTGAAAACTCGCTAATGTCTTGACTGACACAAACCACATTGTGATACACCATTCAAACACACACACAAGCACTAGATAGCAATAACATAGACTCACAATTCATTCCATGCCATGCATGCACACACACAAACAAGGACGACAAGCCGAGTGCAAGCCATAGGGCTGCACCAACACCAGGATAGCATAATTCGCAAGGGTGCTGCACGATTTGCACGATTCTAATCGGAATGATGCGCAGTATGCATGCGATGCGTCAGGTGCTGTTCGCAAATAAGATTGAGTCGACCCACCAATCACAAGGCACGTGAGCGATTAAACTGGCTTCTGGTACTGGACTCGGTAAGAAACTCCATTCACAATGTTCAAGAACCCATTTTTCGATGCTGGTACTGAACACCACTCCAAAGGAATACGCCCTTAATATTATATCAGGAATGCATACATGGTAACTCTGTCGAGTATACTTCAACATCACCCTTTGTACAAAGGGCGGGGCACAAATCCACTCTAGATTTCGCACGGGGAAACAGAAGACATCAACTTACTTTGATGGCCGCGACTTCTATACTTGGGGATTCGAGTTCAAACTCCTTGCGCAATCTTCGAGTATCTGGGGATATTTCGACTATACTATCTGTAATCTAGAGACAGGAACAATCGAAGAAATGGCGCGTTATGACAAGTATTTGCTTATGGCCTTATTCTACTAGTGCGGAGTCTCCTACATAAAGAGCTGTTAGGAGTTCGGTGCTTCAAACCTTCCCTCGCTCCAACCTTCTACGCCTGGGATTACCTGCGAAGGTTGTATCAAGCACAAGATTCCGTCACATAGAGCAAGTTTTTAATTCGACTTACAGCAATGCAAATGCTTCCGGGAGAAAAAACAGGCAGCTACATCAACATGTGTAGAACCCTTCGGGATCAGCTCGG